GCCAATTCTTTAATATACTTTGAATGCACAACAAGGGAGCCAATTCTTTGCACAGCAATAGAGCCAATTCTTCATTATACTTTGAATGCACAGCAAGGGAGACAATTCTTCAATATACTTTAGGTGCACAGCAAGGTAGGCAACTTTTTACTGTTTATCAATGCTATACTTTTGTTTTTCAAGTTTACAAGTGACCTATTTGACTGAGGCCAATGATTCCAAACAGATTCTTAGAAGGCGCTGATAGTTTGAAAACAGTACATTAAATTAATTTTTTTCAAATAAAAAAGCCATCTTGTAAGTTGGTGATTCTGTCTTTGAATGCAAACTCCACGAGGCAAAGGAACATGGGGACGCAATCTGTTTATTCCGGGCGCCGTTTACATCTGGGTAAAACTTGCCATATGTCAAAATCTGGGACAAAAGCCAAGTTTCAAATGAAAAAAAACGATATACAGGACATTGTATTAAGGTCGACTAAATTCTAAGTGGCTCTTTTATTCCGTTTTATAAACTGTAAAATTGGAAAGATAACTTCTTATTCAATATAGACCTATAAAATTACTTTTTTTTAAAAAGCAAAGAATTATACAAATTAATTTAGGGGTAATTTGCGTTTTAAATAATTACATTTTTTTTGCCCTTTTTTAAAAAAAGTAAATCCATATATTGGTTGTTTTTAAAATTTTATTTTATAGAAAATTGTGTACATGCTGTGACTTTCACGCCCTAATACTGTAAACAAGGTCATTTTGACCATGAATACAAAAGCAATTGTTTTTAACTTTCAAAAAATTGTTCACTACACAATATTACAATGTAATCATACTTTAGAAAGAAAAATTCACAAAAGAATCCAGTTTTTAAAATTTTATTAATGCAAATAGTTTTAATTAAAACCTTGATTATTTAACAATTAGTTTTTCAACTAAACGATTTTCAAAAATTCCAAAAAGGGATTTTTTAAAGAAAAAATCTATTATTTTTTTTTTGCCTTTTTTTGTCAAGGTCATATTTAATGGGACACTACAGGGTTTTTAGTAAAGCAACAGATACACCTTACACAATAAAAGCCAAATGAAAGGCCCGCTCTTTTTAATTAGTCAAACTGGTTTTCATCATTTTATTATTCAATCATGACTTTGCCTATTCTAAAAGACCAAATCCCATGGAAAAATTTCCCTGAAAAAACAATTTACGGTTTCTTATTAAAGTTGCACTTTCATATTTTTGGCTCGATCCGATATATATAATTTGATAACGACGTTAAACTCTCAGGACATGTACCAAAACTATGCAAACTTCGGTGTTTAAAAACGATTGCTATCTAGACAAAAATATGTTAAAACAATTTAAATATTACGATCGGAAAAATCCATTTTTCGAAACATTGCTAATTTGTTTTCTTCCTTTTTCAAACAACAAATTTTCTTTGACACATGACCATTGAAAATTAAATTTAATTTGGTTTGCTATAGTACAAACATATTTTACCTACTGCCTAATTATACACAGTGACAAGCCTGGCAGACATTGCTTAGTAGGCTTTAATAGATTCCCTTTAACACTTAATTTTGTACATTTGGGCCGACATTCAGTGGCCGCTGGCCGCGATATATAAAATAGTCGTTTTAATGGAATTAAATTAAAATAGTAACAAGATACTGTTCCGTAAGACAGCGCGCTCGACTTTTTTATTGCTTGCCAATAAAAAAGTTTTTTGCCAGTAAAAGGCAATACAAGAATCTCTGTATTTTTTAAAGTGAACTAGTTGTTTTGATACCCTTGAATATTACAGCAATGTTTATATGACATAATTTTATGGTAAAGTGAACAAGTGGATAGGAATGAATTTTTTTAGATTTTTTAAGTTTTTTAGTGTGCTTGCCTATAATACAAAACATTGACAGTTAAGGGCCATAATTCAAATAAAATCTTTGACAGAATTACCTTCTCCTGAACATGTTTGGGAATCATGATTGTAAACAAGTATTCCAACTTTTCAAATTAATATCTCAAACAGTTCAGTCAAAAAGTGGACTGGTTACTAAAAACTTAACCAAGATTCTAAGTCGATAAAAGGCCTTAATTTTTTAAAAACAAATCCTTGACAGAGTTACCTTCTCTTGCGTACAGATGGGGGTAATGATGTGAAATAGCATTAAAAGTTTCAAAGCAATATCTCAAAGGGTTAAGGCAATAAGTGGATTTTACCCATATTCAATGTATTTTCTAAGTCAAAAAGGGGGCATAATTCTGTCAAAAACCTTGACAGAGTTTATGTCCCTCTTGTCTGTTGATGAAGGTCGTGATGGTAAACAAGTATGGTCAGTTTCAAAGCAATACCTCCAATGGTTTTTGGAAATAAAGTGAGGTGGTACAAAAAACTTAACCAAGCTCAATACACTTTCTAAGTCAAAAAAGGGCCATAATTCTGTCAAAAACCTTGACAGAGTTATGTACTCTTGTCTGTAGATGGAGGTTATGATGGTGAACAAGTATGGTAAGTTTCAAAGCCATACTTGTAATACTTCTGAAATAAAGTGGGGTGGTACGAAAAACTTAACCAAGGTGTGACGCCAACGCTAACGCCGACGCCGACGCCGGGGCGAGTAGGATAGCTCCCCTTTTCATAGAAAAGTCGAGCTAAAAATCATCGGGAGGGATTTTATGCGACCGCTTAATAAAAAAGTCGCTTAATAAAGGTGGCCGCAAGTACGATGCCGACTGTATTAAAAATCTCAGAACAATATTATTAACTCAAAAAATATTGTTTTGTCTTACAATATAAATGCTACAAACATTGGTGGTATCTTCCAGGAATAAGTTTCTAAATATCATAATTTAGAGAGATACTTGGAAGATCAGTTGCTTTAATATCAATGTAAGGGAGGCAACTGAGATCATTTTCCTTAAAGTGTATTCTAAAATAATATTTTATATATTGCTTTTGATGAAAGGGACACCACTGTGTTAGCAAAATTTATTCATCAGGAGTTAAGAATTAATTGCTATGCAGAGTATAGTCAAAAGTTATCTCCCTTGCATTGGACGAAAGAAGTATAATATACAAATGTATACTCTTTCTCTTGCATTTATTCAAGACCTTAAAACATCATTTTAAGACACATATATTATGTAGGTAATAACTAAATCCAAGAAATAAATATAAAACTCGAACTCAGAAAAAAATGCAGGATGAGAAACAATATAAATATATATTTAATACACCACTTAAGTCAATCAGAAAAATGGCCAAAAAACACAAGTTTTACTATAGATCTATTTTACACAGGGTTAAATAACAGATGCTAAATCCCAACCTACAGCATCATATACTTTAGTATGTTGCAATAACAAACATTATAAATTCATGTTTTATCATGAAAACCAGTCAGAGCACTCCTGGCTACGCAAAAATTCTCACTTTCCGTTTTTTCCTCCTCTTCAACCTTAATCAACAACTCAATATACATTTATGACACGTGTTACCACAGTAAGATGCAAAATGCTCAAAATTTAATTCTGAGGTTTGTATAATGGCAAAAATCATACTTTGATTTGCCTGCATGCCATCAAAATATATCTGCTGACAAGCCTGCACAACATCTGCACAGTTTGACCAGACTCGGTAATCTGCTAAGCTTGATTACAAATAATAAATCACCTCTAATATTCACAATGAACAGTACGATCCTAAATTCAAAGCTGGACAAATCCATTTTAAAATTTCAGTATGTAATATCAAAAGCTACCTATATTCATCCTTCTTGAGTGGAAGTGTATTTTCTATTTCCTAAATGAAAGTTTCCTAACTTCTTGGTCTTTAATGATGAAAAGTTATCAGTAAACAGCCTTAATTGGTGTTCTTAGGGTCCCTTAAGTTCAAGTCCCTTTCAGGCTGCACATTTTTCTCACCATGTGACATACCCTTAAATTGCTTTTTTTGTATAAAGACGTAATACGGTAGGCCAACCATAAGTTATGAATTTTTGACCACTTTTCCAAGTTTTTTCTCACGCCTAATAAACACTTACATAATAGCTTTGCACTAGGCACTTACGCAAAAAAATAATAATAACAAATAAATGCTCAGAAAAATTGTATGTGAACATTTTCACACTGTCACATGCAGTATCATTTTGTTACTAAAAATAGATTGTCAAGATATCATCGCACATTATTGCGGTCTCAAGTTTCTCATCGTAACAGTTAGATTTATTGTCCCCTTTGTATCATAACAACAACTTCTTCACATAAACCACTTACAACAGTACAATATGGATATTATTTGTCATGTAAAGAACCTGCTATATGATTAAATCAAATTTGTGACATATGCAGAGTTAATTTATCAAATCATCTCTTCAACAGCTAAATCATAGAAGAAAAAATAAATATTTTGCAACGCCCTAGCAGTGTAAGAAATTCGGATTTGAATCCACTAGGCCGGTCGGACTACCAGATTGGAATATACACTTCAGGGGCTAACGGACTATTGCTAATATCCAACATAAATTTCAAAAATAAATCAGACCCTACCTTCATTTTTTTAATTAAGAGAATATAATAATATAGACTTTGAGAAAACAAAGCATAATCTCTCATAAATAACCAACCCTACCACTCTCATGGACAATCAAAAATAAATAAAATCCTATCAAAGGAAGCAACTCCTCCTGGTACACCCTCTAACAAAAGATCAGAGTGCCTGACAACTTAAAATATTTCAATTTTTACCAAATAATATAGAATCTTTAGCGCTCTGTCAAGCATTATAGATTCATGAAAGTGGTCAGTAGATGAAGTATCTGAGATATGACATATTGCAATAGTTGCATGAGAGTCCGCAGTTCAATGTCAGCCTCTGTTCAGGTATACATTACTGTAAGGCATCTCCTTGCTTTCATTTTCAAAATACATGCAGTCATGTACTTAATATATATTAAATATGTTTACCAACAAAAAAATATACATTGACTTAAATTTTTGAAACTTACCTTTAGATATCGAGATAGCAATATTTCACCTCCGGTTTTACGAAGTTTCAAGTCTTTAAAAGCTTCTCCCGGAGAGGAAGGTTCAGACGACACATTACTTCCAGCAGACGACACTCGGCTACAGTTCGAGTCCGAACGTTTCACCTCGTTCAAAACTATATCACTCATAATAAATCGCTAGTTTTTATCACAAAAACAACAAACAAAATCTATAAAAAAATATTTTTAGAATCGAACAAACGAAAAATAAAATCCATGTAGTCTTTAGGTAATTATTACTGATAAAATTTAAAATCCTTATCTAAATTACCTCCCCTTTTCATATCGTATTAAATCACTTGTGCACATACTGTAATTGTTCCAAGAATTAAGAGATCATTCCTGTCATTTTTGTAACAGTAAATATATTTATCTTCCTGATCCTGGTCTAATATTCACAACATATCTGTACCATTACGAATGTTTTTCATATATATACGTTCACAGCACAATCCCTGTGACTAATCACATCTTACAAGTCTCAAAGCAACAGTGTATGTGCAGTCACCATCTTTCTTTAGTAATTCACTTAACTACAAGGCCAATAAAATAATTTGTCTTACATGCTGCCTGCCCAACTGGTAATAAAAAATACCCCTCAATTTTCAAGAAGATTTTATTTTTGGACATACAGCATGATAATCTTCACATTTGAGATATCTTTAACGAGCAAATTTGCATGTTCACAACTTTTCTTTTTTTTAAATTTACTTAAATTATTATTAACTATCATAATTAAACTAAGGAGATCTAAGTGATTAAACAATTTTATTAAGAACTTCCTTAAATACTCTATAAAAAAAAAATTAAAAAATTCGAAAGCCTTAAAATTAATTCTCTCTTACTTTTCTTCTCAAATTGCAAGCATTAATTTAACAATCCAATATCTAATTGTGTAACAATTTAAACTCAATTCCAATCCACTTAACTTATCACCTTCTCTGACTAAGCATGCAGTCGGCCAATTAAAGCAGAAATTGAATTGCTAAAAAATAATGCAAGTTGGCTGAATGAAGAAATTTACGTATTGCAGAACAAAAGTTAAGTTATAAAACTTTTTTTTTCTGATATACAGAAACTATCAATTAAAGCATCAATATTATAAGTTAATTCCAAATTTCTAAATTATTTAAATAAATCAGTACATGCACCAAACTGGATGCTGCCCTATGTTCCTTTGACAAATTATAAACCCCCTTTAACCACAAATGAACTTTTTTGTTTCAATCTGGACTAAACCATTGATTGTTTTTAGGGAAAACTTTAAAATAAGTACTGACAAAAAAGCAATCAGTGCGAATCATGATCAGACAACATGGATGAATTTCCGCTGGTTGGCACTGGTCACATGGGTAGATTCGCCACCAGCAGTGACGCAAAAAGGCTGGATGGATTAAGTACCGAAAAAAATACTGGTACCACCAACATAAAAATTAAATATAAGATCATCTTCATAGCAGGATGATAATAAATCCATAAAAATGTTAGACATCCACTTACTTCAATAACATTTTGTCGCGCGTGGCCTGTATGTGGTCTAACATTTCAAATTTCAATTGTAACTAAATACAAAATGGTTGACACTTAAAGTTTAAAGTGCAGCAAAAATGACAAACATTATAAACGTATTATGATGACTACAAAGCAAACTTTAACTTTTACACTTTTTTGAGTTTTAACTCTTAAATATTATAAAATTCTGCTTTAAACAAAATTGATTCATGTTTAAGTAAAAATTTTACAATGCTCCAATCTAAACTTCCACAAAAGTACTGTAATCCCAGGGAAAGGCCTGCATTATTCAAGAAAATAAAAATAATGTTACAAAATAATACACATGTATTTAAATATAAGTCTTCCAAAATTTAAGAAAATTCCTGTACAATCAATGATTTTATCTTAAATTCAATTACTTAAAAATTTAGCTTTACAAATTACCAAACAAGCAGACTTCCCGAAATACGTCGGTCCGACGGACATGTCCGATAAATTTTGATCTGGTCCGACAATTTTTTATTCCGGATCGGTCCGATTGTCCGGCTTTTATCCAAGCCGCATGTATACAAAATGGCGTCGCTAAAGGTGCCAAACCTGGGAAAAACCAAAAATCTACGTCAGAAGAGTGCGCAGAACAGCAATAAAAGGATGAAAAGAAAAGACCTGAGACAAAATTTAATGAAAAATGGAAGCAGAACCATGAATCATTGGTGTATGACAGGGAGGAGATGAAAATGCACTGTACGGATTGTGCCGATTTTTACGGTGAAAAAATAAAAAACAAAAAATGTCTTAGAAATACAAACACAAGTTTTTCTTTGATTTTGATCATTTTTATTTGGTCCGACAGATTTTGTTTCGGTCCGACAGATTTTCATGGTTTGTCAGACCAAATGTCTGACGATTTTTTTTAACTTTCGGGAAGTCTGAACAAGATAACCAATCTGATTGCCTCTTTAAACACACACACATATAATATAAAATATCCCAATAAATTCCTAGCAAAACTTTCTTGTCATCTACAAATCAATCACCTTACATTAAATATCAAATTACAGCAAATAGATGCCTTAGTAACTTAATATAAATCCAGTTTTGATCACTCTTTGAATTGTACTTCAAATAAAACCCACTTTCTTTGCTGAAAAGTTTATAAAAGTCCTTTGACAATGATCATGAAAATAACGGCCCTCTTCACATATTTTTTTTTACATCCTACTGTAGACAGAGTGAAATTCGCAAGCAATAAATTTTGTGCATCATTTGGGACATTAATAATCATTTTTGATACAATTTCCATGTTAGGTTTCTATTTTTAGAATATAAGAAGGGAAATAAATAGTTTTTTTTTTGTTTTTTTTTTTTTTGATGATGAAACATTTAATTTGACCCTGCTGGAATGCCTTTATGCCACCAGTACTGACTACTGACACAAAATCATGCTGTTTGAACAGATGTCTCAAATACTGTAGGTGGCTTAATTTTTGTATTTTGATATTGAAATTCATTAAACTTCCTTTGGACTGTTTTAAATTCTAAGCAGGAGAAATCCAGTACACAAATTTAGTAGTTTATTTAGGAGTGCAAAACACAACAACATTCAGGAAAGACAGTAGTTATATTAAATTTGCTCTTGAAACATATCAGACTGCCTCCGTGGTCTAGGGGTTAGAGTCGATGATTTCTAATACAGTTTCCTCTCTGGCGTGGGTTCAATCCACGGGAGATGCTTTGGTAGTTTAGCACGTAGGAAGGCAGTCTAGTACTGGTGTAACTCTCCAGGAACGATGGTTAGGAAACTACCCGCCTATATGACTGAAATACTGTTGGGAAAAGGCGTAAAATGAAACAAAGAAAGAAACAAACAAACATACAACAACTTGAAAAATATCAACAGCTGTTGTGGTTTATATAATTGGTAAGACTGAATTGGTCTAACTACGGGTCAAGGGTTTGATCCTGTCATTTGATATCCAAATGGAAAACAACAACCTTTAGACACCTTTTTAAAGTCTGAAGTTGTCAAAAAAAAGTGTTTATTTTTCAGATTTTTCAAGACAAATAATTATCACAATATAATCATTAATTATCACCGATTTTCTTCCTCACGAATTGTTACTAACTCTTAGCTTCTTGGAAGTTTATAATACAAATATACGGAAGTTTGCAAAGCGATTGCACTTACACACTTAGGATTAAATCGTGAACATCTTTATGTACAAGTTAAATATTCATGTATAGTAGTCAAGTCCCGGCCAAACTTATATATAATTCGGCCAGTCACAATACTTCAAATTGTAAACAGTATGATTTTCACACTTGTCTTAAGTGCCTCCTAAGTGAGAGATTTCTCTCTTTAACAAAACAAATAGAAAAATGCCTTATCTGCATGTTTTAACTAAAAGTATACAATGTACCTAAAGTACAAATTATCTTCCCTGTGACATCCCTATGAAAGACAATGGATTGTTTCCAATAATTAAAACAGGCAAAGTCCACTTTATAAAGCGATACACATGTATAAACTTACTGATTGCTTATTGTTTTTAAAATAGTTGCAAAGCTCTTAATATATCTTAATGGTTAACATAAATAAATAAAACCTTTGGAAAACTATCAAGTGGTCCAAGACATGACTTTTCTACGTGGAATTGGATATGCCAGCATTTATCTTGCACTTGAGTGCAAACTTGTCTGTTTTTGTTGAAAACACCTGTTTTTAAATGTATGGAAAACGTGTTGTAAACTTATCAGGATTCCTGAGTTCTAAACAAATACAAATGTACAAGACAAATGACTTTATATGTTGAAAGACATTGAAAAGATGCAATAAAACTTATATTATTTTCAAGTGAGGAACAAATAAATGACTGCAGACAGTAAAGAACAAATAATAACAGACAGTTAAAAACAAATAAATCCAGAAATTGACAGTGAAGTACAAATGACACCAGACTGTGAAGAACAAATGACACCAGACTGTGAGGAACAAATGACACCAGACTGTGAGGAACAAACGACGCCAGCCAGTGAAGAACAAATGACACTAGACTGTGAAGAACAAATGACACCAGACTGTGGGGAACAAATGACACCAGACTGTGGGGAACAAACGACACCAGACAGTGATAAAATGACACCCGACAGTGAAGAACAAATGACACCAGACAGTGAAGAACAAATGACACTAGAAAACTTCAGACACTGATAAACAAATGACTTTAGACAGTGAACTTGAACCTGACTCCAGACAATGAAATGAAAATGACTGCACTTAAGACGTTAAGTGAGGAAAAAATAACTCTAGACAGTAAAAAAATAACACCAGACAGTTAAGAACACAATCATACAGTATAGAACAAATGACTCAAGACAGTAACAAGCAAATGACTCCAGATATGTGCAGTTATATAAAAAAAAAACAATTGAGTCAAAATTCCAAAGTGCCAACCATTTCAGAGGGAATCAATAATTGCATCAATATTTGTTCAATAATGTCACATAAGGGTTTTCATTTTTTTTGAGGAAACAGATGTGCCAATGAAAACAACCCATTTGACCAAGGGTCAAGGGGGATATTTTAATCTACAGGCTAAAAATTACAACCTATTTTTCAACCAATGATATGGATCGCAAATCTGTTAACAATGAAAATCCTGCACATATTTTTTGAAAGGGCTCCCAAACTTCTATAGATGGAAGTCAAATATGACAGTAGCCAAGTAGAAACCAGTCAAACTGAATTTGGAAAGGAGAAGAATTTGGTTACTGGCTCAAAGATCTATTTTACAGTATTTACATGCCCAATCCTAAACATCCTTGAAACACAATTATATACATTCTGGCAATAAGATCTGTGGGTAGATCGATGAATTTAATATGGCGAAATGTATCCCCACATCAAATAAATACATCAAAAACCCGTTTTCAAGTGAGCCACAAAACTGAAGTACATGCCATGTTACACAACTAAAATATTGCCAGTCAATTTTTATTGCATTCGCATAACAAAACGGCATAAATTACATTATTCATAAATTAAATCAATATGAATATCAAATTTGTATCAAATTTAATGAATATATTGTACACAACTTTCGCACAGTACCAAAAATGTATATTTTACATGTATTTAGTAGGTCTCTTCAAATTTAAATTAAAAACTTCATAATTAAAATATTTCTGACACTATTACTGCATGCAATAATTTACGAGTATTTTCACCCTATGGTTGTTTGACGCCTGGATTTGCAGTGAGAGGTAACGTTCGAGATTTTAAATTGAGATTATCAGGTTTTCTAATCTCATTTCGCTATCTGAAAATATATGTAAATGTGAAACTAACCATTAAAACTTTTACATTAAATGTAAATCTGCCTCTATTACAGACCAAGTTTTATTTCAATGTATATATCAATTTTTTTTAATGAAATTTTTTTAACTTATCTGATTGAACAACTGCGAGAATGTACGACTGTCAATCGCAACTTAATATGTACATCTGTCTAGAAATTTACTGTAGACAAGAAAGTTAAAAGTGATTAGTCATCAAATTTTATTGAGACTGCAAAGTTGCAAAATCTTACATGGAATTCAATGTTCTAGATTTCAGTCAAGGATAATTAAAATGGGAGAAAATTCCAGTATTAATTAAGTTACATGTACTATATGGGGAGAGATTGATTTTATTGAATAAAGAAATAACAAGAGGTCCATGATGGCCCAACATCTCTCACCTGAACTCCACTGGTGTAAAAGTTACATTCTTCTATGCAATGGTCACATTGTAAGGTCCAGCCATTTTTATCTCTAGTCATTTCTATTGCCATGACTTATATAAATTTTGTCAGGGTCCACTCAGCAATGCTGCATATCAATTATCTAAGCTATAGGCCATGCAGTTTCACAGAAGATGATTTAATGTTGTTTTACTATTTTAGATTGTATCAAGTGAACTCTAAAACCAGGACTCTGTGATGTCATTATACGCAAAACTATTACTGAATCCATTTACACAACTTTGTAGAAACCTACCTACAGATTATTCCGGTGAAGTTTGAACAAAATCTACTATATGGTTCAAGAGATCTTGTTTCAAGAAATTTTGGTAAAGACGCAAGAAAGACTGCACAAGACATGCAAGATGTACATTACAGAAGAGTAGTCACACAGACAGACATCATGTTTTAACCTTACAAAAGCTGACAATAAAGCACTAATCGTCAGTGCTAAAACTAATTAAATAACAAGCCAAGCAGGAATATTTCTAATTCATCTTATAATATTATGGTAAAATGCATGGAAAATGCTCAGGCATGATTATATCTACAACTTTAATGACATGTACATTGTATGTACCATCAGTGAAGTATATAATTATGTTCAAGTGAATATAGAGAAAGCAAACAAAAATTTTTTTTTGCTATGCAAATGCCAAGGTGAGAAGAACAGTTTTTTTTTTAGGTTGGTTTTTATGTTGCACCAACACAGTATAGGTCATATGCCCACAGTCAAGCGAAGACCTCGGGTGCCACTCTGTACATTATTTCAGGCACAAACAGGCACCTGAGAAGAACTATCGACGATCTGTAAGCTAAGCTGGATAGCTTTCTCACATGTAGAAACTGATGACGCTTGTGCAGCTTGAACCTTCAGCTGTGTGAGGCAAGTGGTTTGAAGTCAACAACCTTAACCACTCAGTGATAGACACCCCATAGTATACAATATGATTACATAGCAATATGGTTAGGAAACTACCCGTCTATATGACTGAAATACTGTTGAGAAATGGCGTAAAATCAAACAAACAAACAAAACATAGCAATATGAAAGCAGTTCAGTCTGGGTGCATGCAGTTTGAAATGGGTATGACTATGATTTTTCATCCATATTTGTACATGTATATTTTTCAATTCTTTCAACAGCAGGTTCAATAAGGCAAAATTTATTAACTTTTCTAATTTTTATAGCATACACTTCTTGTTCTATCATAATATTATGATAATGTATTGAATTTCAAATATAATATTCATCATCAAAATAAATTAGAAATCATCAAAAGAGTTAGAGATAGGAAATATTTATGAAAATATTTTATATTTCAGTCAGGAATTTCAAGAGGTGCTAATAAAACAAGACAGGGTATATATATTTACATAAGGGTGGTAATATGATACTGAATATTGTAGTAGGT